AGTATCTTCTGTATAATTCAGTGTTCATATAGAAGTATTTGTTTCGAAAGAATTTTTTCTTTCGTGTAATTCAATGTTTATATGAAAGTAGCTGTTTCAGGAGGACTTTCTTTCAGTTTGTGTCTGAAAGTTACTTCTTTGCATGATCTACACATCCATGTATAGAGTTACTTATTTTCAAATTGATTAATCCTTCCTTTCTTTGGAAGATTCTCTCATCCATTTTTTTGTATCAGATGGAGTAGTAGAAAGCCAAAAACTTTCTTTTCCAATAGAATTTATCTATTTTATCGTGAAAACAGGACAGTTGTACAAAAAACTTTGTTGATATTTGTGTTGAAAGTAAGTTTCATGTTGTTCGTAAAATTGCTCAACTCGCTATGCTCGTTTCGCAAACTTTTTCACTCACGAAATACAACCTTATTTTTAACACCCAAATCATAAATAGCTATCATGGACTTACGGATATATGATTGCAGTCGCTGCGATGGTCGAAACAAATGAAAATGGTATTGAAACCAGATTATATGTTAACAAAAATAATGTTCCCCCATAAAGACCTTCTTGGGATTCTTGAAAATATCTCGTCCGATATATGGGATCTGCAAAACCATTGAATTGAATTGAACAATTCGACTCAGTCGACATTTTACTATACTTACACATGAACACCGTATTCATGATTCCTATGAAATAAACTCCACACAAGCAATTCAGAATGAGTCCACTCCTAGTTATGAAGGTGTGTTGAAAATCCTGAAATTATTCCACAGTAAACGAATTTCAATTCAATGTATATCAGACGATATTAATTACTTTCATTTCTCTATAGAAAATCCATAAGAAAAAGAAAAATAACGGTAAGAAGAACAGTCTGAGAAACAACTGTCGAAACCACTTTCCTTGTACCTCGAAGACGTTGGTTTTTCATCTCCATCTAAAGTTTTCGCTTTTGTGAAGGAATCCAACCATTGTGACAAACTCAATTAGCCAGTACTTTGAGGTATGGTGAGAGACAAATTTCAAAAATGACCAAGAGTTAGTGATGAGTGTCCAAAGTGCACTTCATAGTGTAATTCAATTGACCAACAAAATTGTCTACAATCTCAGAGTTGTACATCATCAATTATCTCAGCCAGGACTTGTGCTTTTTCGCTGTCGCGCAAGTTTTCGTCATTCTCTGTTACGGTTTCGAAATCACTACCTCAATTATTAAGGTATAACAAAAATAATTCATTTCGTAATACAATTCATGATGACCCTGTATATGCCAGGAATATAAAACAAGTCTTCTTATCTTTGCTTGAATCGGCAGATTCACCAAGTTCATTTATCTGTCTTTTATAACATATCATGTCACTTCGACATTTCGAAACTTCAGAAAGAAAACGTCTCTTCCTTCTTTTTTCGGTTTTGGACCAGACACGGGAAGAACATCGCAAATTTACGGATTTTAAAGAAGGTTTCAAAGTATTCCTGAATCGAAAATTGATTGATTATCTCAAAGGAGATAATCAATTATCTACTGTCGTAGGATTTATGTAGGAATATGTAGGAAACTTTCAAATTGGAGTTAACCTTGTCGAAGAACTCGGACATCTCAAAAGGCCACACTCCATCTCAGGTTTCATACGACCTTCTTGCTTGCAAAAAATTATGTCAAGACATGTATGAATTTTCAGTCCTTCATTTTCTATTTGCATGTTCGTTGCTAACTGATAACGCCCTTAAAATCTCCCCAACTTTGAGAATAGCGGTTGGCGAATTTCCACTTCTTGGACTCCTAGATGACTCACCACTATTGGTAGTGACATAAAAGCGGATGATCGTATGCCTCATGTCTCAAAGGTAATATTGTTCCTTTTTATAGTTCATTTGGGTCTGAACGCGACGCATTGGCATCACAGGAATAGCACTACCAAAACTGTCAGCGTTACCCACATCACCTAGATATTAGGTACTTTTACTTAGTTTAGTGTGTTGTAATTGAAATTTTGAAACCTTTGTTACCTTTAAACAACTGTAAACCGATGGAATGCATACTTGAAGGTAGATAATTTATCCGTCGAATTAGACAACAAGAAAATCATTGTGACAAAATCCTTCATCTTGATATAATTTATTTTTCCTTGTGAAGAAATCAATTTTTGTAGATTGGTCACGGAAGTTAAAACTGACAATCTTCGTTACAATTTTTTTTACCTTCTATTATTGCTGAAAAAATAACTGGCTTTCTTTATATTTGCCAATGCTCTCTTCCCCATAACTTTCATCAATAAAAGATTCGCAAATTGATTTACTCCTTTCTTCTTTCTTCATACCCACTCCCGTCTCCACTGTTGAAAAGCTGATAGGGCATTTGTGGAGGTAATATCTCTTCGTCAAACATCGTAGAAAATCCTGGGCGGCTTAATGTGTTCAATCCACGAATCGAGGGGCAAATCTTTGAATATGACTTTCGAAATAGAATGTGTTTATTTCCTCATCAAATAAGTCTTCAGACCACAACTTCAATGTTTGATAAACATTGGATTACACTGTTCATTGAACAGGTTTTTCTCAACCCACCATCTAATGTTATGCCTGTTGATACTATGTTCGCCATTGCTGCCTTCTTCCGAAAAAACACGGATGCCGTGATTCTCCCAATCATTTCAGCAGCGGGATGAAAAATTCAAAATTGAACAGCTTGAAACTGAATTGGTTAGATGTAAGGCAGATATATGGGGAAAAATCAAATTTTCAGAACTTGTTCATATTTCTCTGTATCCTCTGCTGGGAACTTGTAAAAAATATCACCAAAAATATGGAAGGTTGAATGAGAAATCAATCTCTCAATATGACCAGGGTATAAATATTGTTTGGAAAAAGCGGAGTGAAGGAAAACTCCATCCAGTGAATGTGACGAAGGAAATGGAAATGTGGAATGTGGAATGGAAAAACAGAAGCTGAGTTACTACGCTTCATAGCTAAACTTTATTTAAAATCATGAAATTATAAAACAACAATAAAAATTAATTGGCGCTCTGGGGCGACTCCATTGATTCCAGTGCTGTGCTGCAGATCTTGATCTGCCAATGTCCTCTCTTTCATGAAACAAAATGTAGAGTGTCTCCAGAGGCTCCAAGAAATTGAATACATCACCAGAACACTTCGTGACACAACTATCGTCAAATTTAAACCAGTCCGTTTCGTTTTTGACCAAAGCGTAAAAATAACCAGATTCAACGCCAGAACGACAGTGAACAATGACCGATGAAAATTATAATAGTGGTCTGCTAGATTGAAGTGTTCACCTATTTCAAACCTTCGTAAGAGTTTGGTGCTTGCGTCAGAAGTTGAGTCACGTCTAAAGATCATCAGTGTTATTATTAGATTTACTGGTTTGGCACATGTTTGGCAATACAGTCGATCAACACCCGTTAAAATTTCCATTTTCAGATGATTTAACATTGAGCTCTGCACCGACTGGTTATCAATCATATTAGGAAACGCTAGTTGAAGTTCCAGAAATTCACATACGTTTCAACTACCTCTTGAATATTTAGAGTGAAGTAAATAGGTGAGGATTTTGTCAGCAGAAGATTTACAAACAAAAGACGAGTTAGACTGTACGGAATCATTCAATCCAGAGCGGTCAGGAGTTTTGATTCTGCTATTTTTTTTGCTCACGAAGAGTATACAACAAGAACCCCAAGAATTCGGAACAATTCTCTGATTATCCTAATGCGTATCCAGTGAACTTCAGAGACTCCAGGAAATCGGTTGGAGGGAAAGATGATACATTCTTACGAAACTGCATCTGCATGAACAGGTGTTTGAGTTTGGTGAATAAGTAGGAAACATTCTCGTTCTCGTTCATCTTCAAAACCTCGTTCTGAAAATTACTTGTCATGAACAACACTTGTAAAATGCTACTCATGTAGCAAGTGTTTCCTAAATTATCCAATCCAATTTTGTTCTCAAGATTTTCAGGACAACTTTCTACTGATTCGTCAGAAAGAACATGTCTCACATAATCTACAGAAAACCATTTCTCAAGCTGCAATCGATCCTTCCGTGATGAAGGGTTTCGTATAGAGATCGATTCGGCTCTTGCTTCATGATTTTTTGGATCATGCAGGTGGTACACTTTTTTTTCCGTTTCTTCAGTCAACCTTATGCCAATTCCATTGACTAAATTAGGAGATAAGGGGTCAAATACACCGAAAGTTTCTACTGCCACATGATAAAATATGGAGTTATTTCGGTACTGTTGCTGTTTTGTTTTCTCATCAGTTATGGCAGCCACACCTGCATTTTTGGACGGTCAAACTAAATGAGATGGAGCCAATGTGTCCGCACATGTAGAATCTCAAACAACAGCTTTGCTACATTTCCAGGAAACAAGGATCATCCATCAGGACGTTTACCATCATCGCGGCTAGTACCTAGTGGTTCTAGGATTGAAGGTATCCCGGCTGATATCAAAGCGCTTTTTATGATATCGTTGGCTTGGTGATGGGAAACGTTATTTACCTCACTACCACAAATATATTTATGAGGGGTACAAATATATCTATACCTGATTTGAGTCCAATCGCTATCCTGAAAATACCATTATCTAATTGTGTTTTCGAAAAAGCAACAGGTGATTCGTTTAATCAAGCTCCGAATTATTTAATATTGAAGGCTTTGGGAGAGAAACTTTGTCAGAGGAAGATTACAAAGATGAAGTGATGAAATCCGAAACAATATCTAGTCGAGTTTCGTCCAATGTTCTCTGAAGTGACTTGAGATCTATAGGCATATGACCTTTGGTTTGACAACACCGAATAGATTGGCCTCTGATGACTGAACCTTCTATTAGATTGTTGAAGGAGACTGGAAGTACCATTTCTATTAATTGTGATACGTTGTTGATGAAAAACATGAATGCTAGTAAAGCCAATGATGATGCTGAGCGCTCCGCGATTCACAGGCGATGTTGCTTTGTTTTCTTTACGAAGATGAGTGGACATAAAAGTGAACCCAGTTCATGAACTACGTTCTCATGAAGAAATCTGTTGCATGGTGAAGTGAAGACATAGAATATTGAAATTCACTTTTTTTTAGATTGCTGCTTTCATTGAAAACGAAAACGTTTATTTTACAGTCACTTACCACTCACGAACCATATGACAGGACGCAGAGTCATATCAACGCTACTGCAAAGCTTTCAACAGACCTCTGAAGACACGACCCGAACTGATTTGAAAAGGTACAACTGAAATATTGGGTTCAATGGAATATTCGATAATCACTTACAGATAAATATTCCATCCGGTTGGAAAAGATCCAGGCTTTCCAAGGAGTATTGGAACTTTGTTGCTATGTATTCCATGTTCCGAGGTATGGTTGGGACCAGTCATTGTCGAAGTCTTTCTGAAGATGCCACCTTCAATTTTGAATTTTTCCACAAGTGTTGATATTTGGTGATTACTTTCCATGAACCTTTCCCTTGACCTTCGATCCACAGTGGAAAGACAAACTGAAGAGAAAAAGTTTCCGTTCAATAATGTTGGGATTAAGTGCTGAGAAGAAACTGTTAGAAGACGATTAGTAGAAGGTTAAAGAGAAACTATAATTAGTTGAAAAATAAAATTCAGGATAGAACTGGAAAAATAAGATGGGAAGCAAGACAACAGAAGTTCGTAAGAAAAGTGTAGAAGATGAAACAGAAGTTACTGAGGAATAATTAAGTGGAGAAAAAAGTATTGGTGAAGGGTAAAAATGAAAGAGAACAGAATAGATATGAAATAAAAACATAGGTAGCTATGGAGAAAGGAAAGAAAGGAAAATACTGAAAAATAATATGATAACAAGAAACTGTTCATTACTGATATTCCACCCAAGGAATTCTTTCCAGTTTCAATAATTTTTGATAGCGATTTTTCATATTCTGATGCAAATAATTCATTCGTACATTCACATCACCCATTATATCAAACTTCGTTCGAAATTTATTATCAGATGAATGAAGCGAATCGAAATGAGAATTTATCTTGCCTGATTGAATAATTATTGCTATATAATTGAATATTTTCATCACAAGTATTAGAAACATTTTGTACGAATTGGGCAAAATAGTTGTTTATTTCATGGGGATTCGAGAGGTGATTGGGTAATGAATATTGTTTTTTTGAACGAACATTGAGGTTAGAAGGAGCATTCCGGGTTTTGCGTAGTATTTTTTCAGAACAGACAGACTTGAGATATGTTCAGTTCTAACTATTGACAAGGTATAATTTCCCAATTCTTTATACCTCATAGGATCATTAACAGATTTAGTTTTTTTAAATTTTTGAAAGGCTTCATCACGTACTTTCATAAGAAGTCTGAGATTTTGAGTGAGCCAAGGAGCGGGTGGATTGGTAATTCTAACTTTTTCAAGAGGGGCGTGTCTGTAAAGAGTGTAAGTAGAGATTAAAAATGAATTGAAATTGTACAATTCATTATCGATATCATTTTCACTTATAATTTCGAACCACGGCAACTGGTATAAATCTGATAAAAAAGTATGCAAAGTGAAATTGTCGAAACAGCGGTATGTTACAAGTTTGGGTTCTATTTTGAATTTCTTTGTTAAATATTCAACGTAAGCCTGTGATATGAAATGCCTTGGGATGATAAAGTACCAGATCTTACAGCATGATTATTATTACTAACGAAAATCGGGTCAAAGAGCGTGCTAGAAACGTTGGTGATTCTAGTAGGCTCATCAAAAATTTGTTGTAAATTGTAACATTCAAAGCAGTTGAGTAGGGGATTGGGTAGTTTGAAAAGGTCAACGTTGAAGTCTCCCATGCATATCACAGCATCAGAAACAGGACAAACAGCGGATAAAATATTATCAAGGTCACCAATCATGCTCAAAATGATTGGTGACCTTGAAAAATAAAACGCAAGATGGAACTGAAGAAATAAGATGGGAAGAAAGACAACAGAAGTTCATAAGAAAAGTGTAGAAGATGAAACAGAAATTACTGAGGAATAATCAAGTGGAGAAAAAAGTATTGGTGAAGAATAAAAATGAAAGAGAACAGAATAGGTATAAAATAAAAACATTGGTAGCTATGGAGAAAAGAAAGAAAGGAAAATACTGAAAATTGATATGACAACAAGAATTTGTTCATATTACTGCATTACTGATATTCCACCCAAGGAATTCTTTCCAGTTTCAATAATTTTTGAAAGAGATTTTCCATATTCTGATGCAAATAATTCATTCATACATTCACATCACCCATTATATCAAACTTCGTTCGAAATTTATTATCAGATGAATGTGTTGCATTTGCATTTCCTCACATATGGTTACATATTGTATATTAACCCACTTCCATAGAGAATGGTTCGAGTGTAGAGTTCTTAGATGTATGCTTAGGCTGCAAGGAAAACCTCAATATCACTTTCAGGCCCTTATTTCTGCATACCAGAGCTTTCTATTATAACTTCATCTCAATAGTTCCGATATCATTTCCACAAAAAACTAGCCAATGGGTTGTTTCATGATTTTTTGTTTATAGTTCACTTGATAGAAATTTTGAATTGAAAAACAGTGCACTTTGTTTCATCTCTCTAAGTACCGTAGTTTTCCCGTAATTAATTATTAAAAATCGAATGTGGTAAGGTGATGACGTCACGCCCCTATTCCCGCTTCTTGTTCGATTGACCAATAGGAACAATAGAAATAGTCAACATTGTCAAACGTAAAATTTACGAAGCGTATAATTATCAATTTGAATATGGAAGTGTATATGAACCCGTTAACGTTTCAAATAATGAAGAATTCTCCACATGGAATAAAATGTACACGAAAAATCATGTTTGCAAAATAAGTTCTATATCTAAAATCTGTACAGAAAGTCGATAGATCACAGAATATTTACCTAAACTATGATTTTATGTATTATTTAATAATATACAGTTATGAAAATCAAAAAATATAGCAAACTGGATTCAAGAATAATTTCAAATATCCAATTTATTCTACAATTCTCAATCTGTACAACTGCAATTTATTATAAAAAAACCATTCCTTCATACATAACTCTTTCTAATATAGCTTTTGAATTCAAGCACTATAGGCTCTCTTGGGTAATCTGTTGAATCTTCCAAAATTCGAGAGGAAGGTTGAATGAGATCAATTATAGACAGAATTGATTGTACTCGACCGGATCCAACAAAAGCTTCTGAGGTAATAATACCATTAATCATATGATTGAGTTTATTTAATTTTGTTTCATAATTTCAGTAATAGAATTAACTCCAGATGATACTTTCTGTGGAGACTCTTTGAAGTTGAAATAAAAAAATATGTCATCAAATTCAATATTTTCGTTCNTCTCCTGAAAAATTATGATTTCTAGAATGGTGAATATGTCTTATTTTTCATAGAATTGGACCTACTAGCGTTGAACCAGAACTCCATTAATAAACAATTATTTAATCTTTAGTAATCTTTAGACATTGAACCATGCTAAAGTTACGATGATAATATAAAAGACTCACATCTGAAGGACTTAACTCATACTTTCATTTTCAGTCGACTATCAATGATTTTTCAAATACGGATATGATGAAATGAGATTGCCAGGCTTTCGAAGAATCTTAGTGTTATATACTGGCCTCAAAAATCTCAAACAATACTTGTAGAGCGCATTTTTTCTTTTCTACTGAAGGGCCACCTGTTCTCTGCAACGAGTTTCAATAAGTCGTCTAGTTTGACCAACATACTTTCGTTACGGTTCCCGCAACTCATATAAGGGGTTGTCTGACTTGTTAGAGTTAACATGATGTTTTAAAAACTACTCCTAAGTTTATTCATTTGAAAGGTCGATCCAAGTCATCACTGTTTATCTTGATTCATATGGATCTACAGCATATTCCGACTCATTTCCATACTAAAAATCAAGATTTTTACTACAGAAAAATCCTTGAGGCCCTCTAAGAGCGGTGCCTGTGCGAAAGTAGCGATTCTCGTTGGATTTGAATCGCTGGAGATTGAATCCATTTGGAAAAACGTTCACAGGAAGTTTAACCCCGTAAACACAGTTCTCCAACTGATAGAATTTTCAAACCTGGAAGTTAGAGGTGTACTTAGTTGAACCTCAAAACGATGGGCAGCCACAGTCCGTCGCGTATTTCTGATATGTACCGCTCTTGGTGGAATCAAATGTGGCAAGTCACTTGAAGACTTCCCGTGAAAGTATCTATGGAAGAGAGACAAATATCCAACCTTTCTTCGATGTTCTAGACTATGTATGCAGTTAGGATCATCGTTAAGTTGGGATTTAGGAATTCCTGTAGGGGTGCATTTCAGAAGTTAAAAATATTAACAGTTGCAGGAATATACATACTTGAGGCATGCACATATGTATACCGCAATAAAAACAAATTGGCGCTGCCAACAGACCATCTTATACCCATTTGACACGTAATGGCCACTTACTTCTGCCCAGTCAACATCGAACTGCTCTCTACCAAAAACGTTTTTAATATCAAGGATGCAAAAACTGTTTGACAAACTTCCCATTGGCATTAAAGTTTCAGGAAATGTAGATATTTTCAAAACAAAAGTTAAGCAATTCTTATTGTCAAAAAACATCTACACTGTTCAGTAGATTGAGTCGTAACGTTATTTCTATGTGAAGGGTACGGTTTATTTGATATACTTACATCTTTTTTACTTCTACATACGAAGAATTAGTAACTTCAATATATTTTATATTTATACTTTTTATAAAACAACGATAACAATAAAAACAACAATAAAAATTAATTTGCGCTCCGGGGCGACTTCATTGATTCCAGTAGCGCATTTGCTTTTTCAGCTGCAGGAAAACCCGGAAAAACCTGCAGCACCACATCATCTAAAGATCTTGATCTACCAATGTCCTCTCTTTTATAAAACAAAAAATGTAGGGTGTCTCCAGAGGCTCCAATAGATTCAATGCATCGCCAGAACACTTCGTGACACGACTATCGTCAAACTCAAACCAGTCCGTTTCGTCTTGGACCAAATTCAACGCCAGAACCATAGTGAACAATGACTGCATGAATATTATCATAATTGTCTGCTAGATTGGAATGTTCATTTCGAACCTTCCAAAGAGTTTCTTGCTTCCGTCAGAGTCTTGTATGAAGATCATCAGTGTTATTATCAGATTGACTGGTGCCCCACCTATACTTGTTTCCTTATAATAATCAGTTAGTTTGGCGCATGTTTGGTCATACAGTCGATCATCACCTGTTGAAAATTACATTTTCAGATGATTCAACAATAAGCTTTGCACGGACTGGTTATTAGTCATATTAGGAAAAGCTAGATGAAGTTCCAGAAATTCACATAAGTTTTCGCTACCTCTTGAACATTTACTGCATAGTAAACCAGTGAGGATTTTTCTAGCAAAAGATTAACAAACACAAAACGAGGCGGACTGTACTAAATCATTCAATCCAGAGCGGTCAGGGGTATCGATTTTGCTATTGTTTTGCTCACGAAGAGTATTCAACAAGAACCCCAAGAATTCGAAACAATTCTCTTGTTGTCCTAATGAGTATCTAGGAAATCGGTTGGAGGAAAAAACGATAACTTTTTACGAAACTGCAGCTGCATGAACAGGTGTTTGAGTTTGATGAATAAGTAGTAAACATTCCCGTTCTCGTTCATCATTAAAACCTCGTTCTTGAAATTCTTCGTCATGAACAACACTTGTTAAATGCTATTCATGTGTTTCCTAAATCATCCAATCCAATTTTCTTCTCTAGATTTTCAGGACAACTCTCTACTGATTCGTAAGAAAGAACACGTTTCACATAATCTCCATAAAAACCATTTCTCAAGCTGCGATCGATCCTTCTAAGTGAAGAAGGGTTTCGTATTATTTGTAATACTTGTTTGTGATGTGGATGTGATAGTTTTATTTACATCCAGAGATATTTAATCATTCTAGTCATTTCATATGTATATACATTTCCTTATATCATTTCTCTATTTGAATTTATTGACGTTTTCCTTTTTTCTATTTGCATTATTATGCTGTTGATGTGCATACTAATTTGTGAAAATACAGACATTATTATTATCATTATTATTATTATTATTATTATGTTAGATGTAGTAAGCGGACTAAGTGGATTAAACTAACAATGACTGATTAATGTATAAGTTTGAAAATGCCCCTATAGGACGAAACTGTATTAATGGTAGTTACAAATAAAGGTGGTAAAATACATAGAAAGTTTCAATTCTCTTTCCTTCATCATGATTTCCTACCACGTAGTAACGGCTACATCCATCAATTTATTGATTCATATGTATTAGCTATGGGAAATATAGACCTATATTATTACTATTATTAATTCAAGAGTATATGGAAACCGCCATAGCAATATCTCATTTCTCGTACATAACAGGACACAGACAAAAATAAACAAAAATATAATACTCACGATAATACATAAGAGGATTCTCTAGTTGCGGGCAGGGAAACCCGATAGCGTTGAAATACTCCAGCATTTGCCTTGTACCACCGGTGTAAACGACATCGCCGAGGCATAAGTATAGAACCCGTTCCAAAAATGGAAATACATCCGATCGGGGTTTCTCCATTGTAAGAATGATTGCAGTGCCGTATTTCTTGGCGGCGTTCGATAAAATAGACACGACCAAGTAGGTGTTTAATGGATCCAAGTCCCATGTTGGTTCATCTAACAATAAAACCACTGAAAAGAAGTGATAAGAGTCATTTTTCATTATTGGCTAGATTTCTCGGCAGATTGGAATATTCTTTGAATAACCATCATTAAATGAGCACTTCATATAGGAAAAAGAATCAGAATCAAGTAGATGCAAGGAACAAACAAAATATGATGTTATACATACATTGCCTTCATTTCAAAACTTTCCACCGCTGGTACTTCGTTTAGCAGGAAGAATTTGCCGTAGGCAAAAAATACGTCAATTTAAATATCGAGAGGAAAGTTCAAAACCAGTGCCAGTGGTATTTTAGGTTTAACCCACTTACCCCTAGCTACCCCCACTTAATAATTTTATCAGTTCAAAATCTGTTTTTCCGTTAATCAGCTGTCGCCCCCATACGAAGGACAACTCTCAGAAGTTGAGAAACTTGTGCGAGCTAAGGAATAACGAGGTTTCACCTTTTAACGTGTGATTCCTAACACGGAATCACACGTTGTAACACATTATTTTAAAGGATTTCGTTTCACAGAACTCCAGCCCAGACGTTTATTTTTTGTGGATATTGCGTATGATCCTCTCGAAGCAAGTGTGGATTTTCATTATCCCAGTATCTACAGTTTATTTACATAGCCATTAAGAAAAAAAGTTGATTTAACACTGAAGCAAATATTTTTTATTAAATTCGGTCATTTTGAATGCTTGCAGTCATTATTTCACAAAATTCAATACTCCTATCATAGTCATCCTCACTGAGTTGCTGAAGAATACTCATTTTGTAAGGAACTTGTTTAGTTTTGAAACTATGTGTATAGAACCAACTGAAATATGTTCTAACTTAGCGACTTTCGAAATTGAAGTAGTAGGCTCAACGGCGAATTGGCCTGAAATCTCAATATGTGTGGCTTCCCTAAGAACTCTCGGCTGCTTTACTGCTTTGTTGCACACAGAACCGGTCTCTTCAAATCTTTGAACAAAGTCTCGAACATATCGGTGACTCACATTTTGGCCTGCATGCGTTTCATTAAAATCCCGGGCTGTTTTACGAGCACACCTATCTTCAGCACCATAAATAAAATTATTTTCAGTTCTTTCTTGTGAAGTGTACACCATTACGATTTGTATTACTGTCAGTGCAACTGACACCACTTGACAAAGAGTCAAAAAACTCTGTGTAAACATATCGTTATTGAGTCAGTGGTAGCGGTTTCATAAATTTTTGCATTTTGTTATAATTCATTTCCTTTTTGCCCTCTTTTACGAGAACGGATCAACCAATTTCAGTTTTCTAAACGGGGTTGAGTGAGGATTTTTAAGATCTTTAAAATTATTTGTAACAAGATAGGAGTGCTATTTAAAATTTATTAAGTGGGGGTAGCTAGGGGTAAGCGGGTTGAACCTAAAATACCACTGGCACTGGTTTTAAACTTCCCCCTTGATGTCTAAATTGGCGTATTTTTTGCCTACGGCAAATTCTTCCTGCTAAACGAAGTACTATGGGTGGGAAGTTTTGAAATGAAGGCACTGTATACAGAAACGAATAATGACATCGATGGGAAAATGTTGTTTCAGAAGTTTTGCTCGTTTTCATAAGTCCACTTTGAACTGTAATATATCAATGAATATCCACTCAATTCAATCGAAATGGGCTACATTTGAATCACTGTTCAAGTCCACTTTAAACTGTAATATATCAATGAATATCCACTCAATTCAATTGGAATGGGCGCCATTTGAATCACTGTTTTTTGCTAACGTAACACAAGTTGTTTTATTCCGTCAGCATAAACATTGGGTGCTCAGGATTTGGTGGAGTCGAAGGAAGCCGTATTTGCCAGAGCCTAGTTGACGAAGGTTTTATCGACTTTGTCGACCAGTGCCGGCTGCTGCTGCTGATGCAATTTCCAGTTTCATCGATTTTTCCAATATAGAACTCCGCTGTGATAGTATGGCCCAGTTGCAGGAAGTTACAATGGATCAAACCAGCATGTGACCACCATACAGTAACCACGGTTTTCTGTTTTGAACGTCTTCTTTTGTCGATGGATCCACTTTCCGTCATACGCGACGATCCTATCCAAGAAAGTCCCGTTTCGGTTGGATAAAAGCAAAGAAGAATAGTCCTCAAAATGTAAAAAATCTGTCGATCGTTCAAGTCATAGAGCTCCAATACGTTTCAAGCCAGAAAAACCGCATAGAAGCCGATGCCCAGATATTCCACCATCCCAAGCATCGTTTGTGATAGGTCCTTCACCAGGATCCTTAAATCCTCGTTTGGATGATTGTAGGTCAATCACATCGGGACTCATCTTCGACGCTCGATTCTCAGGAATGCAAACATTGTGTTCATCAACATTGTTATTGCCTGATGCCTGGTTAACTTTCCTGGTTGTTTCAGCAGCTCTAATATTTTATATGCAACGATTTGTGAAGATTTTTTGTACTTCAGATACTTCAGAAATGCTCCATCTTGTGCAGCAGCACGAATCGATGTATTTGGATGACAACTCCTACTACAATTACTGCATGAATAGTATTAATTCATGTGCTAATAAATGAAAAGGTTTTTTGAATTTGGCCAAGACAATTAGGTAAAGCAGTGTATTCTTGGTTCAGCCTAGCACCACCAATGAGACCTAATGGGGTTCAGACCTGGTGTTTCAGCCCACTGATAAGAACTGGTGTGTTTAAACAGCGCTGTCCGGAGTTGGATTATAAATCCATCGTAATGAAACTACTGACTCTCCTGCAAGAAAGGGTAAGGCGGTTTCATTGCACCAGAGCAAAGTGTGCCAAATACGAATAACTCAAGTTCAAGTTGGAGTTTGAGTTCAGATTATTGGTTGACAATCAAACATAATTGNAAAAAATATGTCATCAAATTCAATATTTTCGTTCCCTTTCATTTATAGTCACTTTTTAAATGATTCCTATAAAGTCTTGGAAGAGTAGAAGAATTGAAGTTCTTTTTTTTCAATACTTTAACCCAATAATTTTCTCATCATTTTATCCTTCGGGCGCTTTCTACTTTCTTGTGCTTTTCCGCACAATTAAAATCAGCACAAGAATGCACCGTATTAATATTCAAATATATCTCTAAAACACTTTCAAAACATACACAAACTGAACTCGATGAAAAAACGAATTGTTCCTATGCGAGCTGTAAGTTGTGCTCTTTCTAATGTCTATGGTTTCTACAAACTTCGTATGTTTGTTAAAATAATTTCAAAATGGATGTTGAGCCTAGTTTTGTTAAAGCTGACTACCGACAACTTACCAAGAGTCGATTTTGAAATGGTCGATGAATTTGACTTGAAAAATTTGCATTACTTTGGTGCCGAAATAAAAAATGAAACGGTAAGTGGTATATTTAGTAGGTAGGTCCCTTTTATATATATGACATTCATTTCATACTTTGTCTTTTATCAAAGGATGGAAAGTTTTTATTTAATTTTTATTTTATATCGGCCAAGGAGCAGTATGGTCACTGAAAAGAGAAGCAAAAATATGTACAGTGAAATGTAGAATTACTCCAGAACAAATCAATCCAAAAATAACTTGAAAAAATATTTTTCGGAATTTAAACTAATGACACGGAATATGCAGCCAAATAGGTACCCGCCGAGACCTACCTTTCACAAAAAAAACGTTCTATAATTATATAATTGTAACAGTTGTTTTCATACCGATTTGACAACAATAACAACAAAAATGCCGTCTGTCAAATTTGATCATCAGATCTGTGATTGGATATTAAAAGCCAATACACTTGGCAACTCTGCTTAAGACACGATCAATTTTATTGGTCAACAGACACGCGGCCAATTCAAATTCTTGCTTTTCGAATTATTCTTTTTTCTGCAAATATATAGAGATTTTGGGACCGATTACCCTTGATAAGTATAATATACCCCTAACTCGATCAGTCTATAAACAAACCAGTATCATTTTCAATAGCATGAAACAAGCCCATTTCAGTATACAGTAAATCAGTTCACCCTAACCAGTTACGAGTATTATGCAATTTTCTCTAATGACCCAACAAAGCACTCGTTTCACATGCTTTTGTCCAAGCAGCTCATTCGTGAAAAAATTAGTCTGATATTGCCAACTATAAATAAGCTATTGTATGGTGTTGCATTTTTGTACTTTCAAATCATATTTCGGGGCTCGAAGTTTGAAATAAATGTTCACAGTAGTAGTGTTATTTTTTTTTGAATGGTTCTCAATAGGATTTTTACATTTTCTCGGCTAGCAAAACAATTTCCCCTAAAAAATAATGATTTCTAGATTGGTGAACATGTCTTATTTTTCATAGAATTGGACCTACTAGCGTTGAACCAGAACTCCATTAAAAAACAATTATTTCGACGGGTAATCTTTAGAAATTGAACTATGCTAAACTCACGATGATAATATTGAACACTCACATCATCTATGAATTAACTCATACTTTCATTTTAAGTCGAATATCAATGATTTTTCAAATACAGATATTATGAAATGCGATTAATGCTGTACTTCGACGATTGCCAGGCTTTCGAAGATACCTAGTGTTATATACCGGCCTCAAAAATTCCAAACAATGCTTGTAGAGCTCATTTCATCTTTTCTACTGAAGGGCCACCTGTTCTCTGCAACGATTTTTAATAGGTCGTCTAGTTTGACCAACATACTTTCGTTACGGTTCCCGCAACTCAAATTAAGGATTGTCTAACTTGTTAAAGTGAACATGATGTTTTAAAAACTACTCCTAAGTTTATTCATTTGAAAGGTCGATCCAAGTCATCACTGTTCATCTTGATTCATATGGATCTACAGCATACTCCGACTCATTTTCATCCTAAAAATCAAGATTTTCACTACAGAAAAATTCTTGAGGTGCTCTAAGAGCGGTGCCTGTGCGAAAGTAGCGATTCTCGTTGGATTTGAATCGCTGAAGATTGAATCCATTTGGGAAAACGTTCACAGGAAGTTTATTCCACGAAAACGCAGTTCTCCAAATGAAATAATTCTGAAACCTGGAAGTTCGAGGTATACTTAGTTGAACCTCAAAACGATGAGTAGCTATAGTCCGTCGCGTATTTCTGATATGTACCGCTCTTGGTGGAATCAAATGTGCCAAGTCACTTGAAGATTTTCCGTTAGTGTCCGACCAAAACTGGTTTTTACGACCGAAACCGAAACCGAAAACGAATTTCGGCAACGGTCTCAGTTTCGGCCGAAACCGAAACTTCCTTACAAGGATTATCTTCTGAGGGAAAATAAAGAAAAGGTTATTATTATCATTTTTTTGTCTTTAAATCACAACTTTATGCAGTCTTCGACATTTTTACTTATTGATAATCAACATAAAAAACCTTTATATAAAAACTGTTGAAAAG